GACTGTTATATAATTCTGTATACTATGAGCATTCTTTATTGTAAGAACGCTATTAGAATACTCAATATGATAAATTTTCGACTAACATCACACGATTAATCATTTTTACAGATATTACTACTCGGTCTGACGACGATGGCGTACGCACAGTTCAACAGGTTCACGACTCCACCGACGCAGTATTACAATCCTAATTACTATGGCCGGCCTTTTTACGCTATACTGCGACAAACGCAAGACTCCGCGCCGGACGGATCGTATTCTTACAGGTATAAGATAGTCTCAGTACTGAGGTGTACATATGTTTTGTCAAGAGAACGATCTCGACACGCTCGAGGAGTCGCGGATGCCCTCGAACGTATGAAAATACGCGGCATTCGGTCGATGCAATCGTGAAGTTAACACGCTCGGCGTCCGTTTTTTCTTCTCATTCTATAGCTGTGTCTTCATCGAGGAGTGATTAATAGGCAGGAAGGAAGTGTAGTTAATGCACCGGAAACGCACGAAAGTAATGACGCGCTTTAGTTTGACGGTGGATTGTATATTAAAACTTGTATATTATTTCTTAATAAATATTTATATATTGTTCCAAGATTTCTATATTTTTTTTATAGATGTAAAACTATAAGTAATGTAAGTAAATGATATAGGTATAAAAATACCATTTTTAAAGAAAAAAAAAGCATCGACCGAATCTTTTTTATTTTATATAATATAAAGTTTGGAAACGATAGTAGTTTATTAATTATCAATACAATTTTGACATAAATTGATCTTCTTTGATTTTTGTTAATGATGAAAGCCTTTTTTTTTCAGAAATATGCTACAAGCATTACATGTAAAGATAGCGTGTAATTGATTGAGAAGAATCGATATAATTGTCTGAAAAGATGTGGGATGCGTTGAGTTGTTTCTCGGTAGTACGTATCTACATATATAAGCATTGTTGAACCGCTTATTTTTCAATCTTGATAATGACGACGTCCTTTTACTATCCAAAAAAGGAGTTTGAACATTATAATTATGTCAATCGTGCTCGCGCAACGTTTGTTAGACAGTTTTGCAATTATTTTATTTGTCCGTCTACGTAAACAATTCTCAAATCTCGTGACTTATACGGCAAAAATATCTTTCGAACAAGAAAACAAATTTGAATCGTGCGAAGGCCAATAGTATCACACAATCGCTTGGAAGTGCTTTCTGAGTATAGTATGCCTTAATAGTAATTAGATACACAAAAAAAGTGCGGACTCCGGTGTAGTAATCACATGTTCGCATTGCGAATTCGTAGATATTCTCATGTAAAATTCAATAACGACAAAGAAAAAAATTTCCGGTTAATTTTCATTTACCACTCAGGAATGCAATAAAATTTGCATAATCATTTTATCCTATTTATAACAAATAATTTATTTTCACAGTCGCCTGTCGTGTATTCATATTAATTTGCGAGAGAATAATAAAATCGAGAGAATGTGTTTAGAAGAATTTTATATTGTCGTTATTTTTGTCATGTTGTTGTTTAATAATAAAATTACATTTACATTTACAATTACAGTGGCAAAAAAATTTCGTTTACATATTCTGGAAAAAGAATGAAGAAATAACGATTAAAACATACTCGATATAATGCAAATATCATAATCCCTACAATCATAATATCGTATGATTTAAAATTAATTAACATCTTAATTTAATTTAACATAGAGTATAGTCAACGCGATGTTGCAAACGTTTTGAAGCGTTTTTTAATTGGTCAGTTTGTAAAATTTTTTCTTCTAATTGGTCCATCAAACACTTCAAAGCATTTGTAACGAGACTTTGACCACAGCCGTAGACACGCATTAAATGTTTACTTATTTATTTATTTAAATAGAAATAGGTAAAGAAGATAAAATTGCGCGCGTAAAACGATTAATCACAGCTTTAATAATAATTATTACAGATCTATAACATATTCAGACATATAAAATTATAGCACGAAATTTAAGCATCAATAATTATTATATTGTTTCACTATACGTGACACACATACACACGCGCGCGTTCCCCCCCCCCTCTCTCTCTCACTCTACCTGAAATATTACCTTGAATTATCATATAATTATATAAGCTAAATAATTATGCAAAAAATTCCATACGAAAGTTTGCAAAAAAGGTCAACTGTTGACCAAGCAAAACATGTTGAGATATTTTCATCCCACTCTGACTTTCTAATATATCATGATTCACTATAATTAATCAAGTGCAACGAGATGGTTCTCTAGTCAATAAGTCAGTTATTATCAAATTATCTATTAGGTGATCGATCATCTCACATCGTCCTATGATACTTACATACGCTAAATCTGTATGACACATCTTACACGCAATTAATAACTATAATAATGGACGGAAAATTAAAAATCTACGATTATGTTGTAATATTCATTCTATATTATATTATATATTTGTTTTTGAACGACCTAATATTTTATTCAGCTCAGTGGTCCTTGGAAATTTTTTCTGACGATCCGATCATACCTGTATAATAATCAATTATTTTTCGATCGCTTTCTAACTTCAGAACTTTGTGCGACTTATCATTTAAAATAATCCTATGGGCGTGTCGAAGTCGCGAATCATTTGCGCGTAGGTTGATAGATAATTTTCCAGATGCTACTTGGAACAATTGACCCGTCTTAATTGAAATCGTAAAAACCGTGAATCCGTCTTGGCCAAAGGAAGGATACATAATTGGCTTTGATGTTAATCATACATGCGCCACTCGGTTGTACAACACGTAATAATTGTGCAATTGAACAATTACAATCGACCTACCTGCTTACCTCTACTGCTTGCCTACCTACGCGCTCATCTTCCTCACCCATTCTCATTGCTCTTCGCATCTAACTCAGGCCCCTCCCATGACATCTGTCTCTGAGACATTAAGACTTGTGGCGAGGCTCCACCTAACATTTCGAAAGTAGTAGTATTTTTCTTTGACTAGTTTTTCCAATAGCAATTCGGTGGGAAAGTGGATACGAAAATGTTAACTGCAAAGCTGATAAACAATTGTTCTTCTGAATAATTTAAAATAAATTTTAATCGCACTTGCTCAGAGCTTCTGGATGAAAAATTCTCATGCAAAATTACAAGTTGAATTTTTTTAAAGATGAAAGATTGAGCTCTTAATAATTTTTCGGAATATAAGCGAAAATGAATCATCTCTTGCGCAAATCTTGCATTTACAGGTGATCCACGGACCATCAGTAGTTTTATATATTTACAGTTTAAAATTTATTTTATTTATTTTTTACTTAATTAACTGCAACTCTTTTCTCTTTTTGTAAACGGTACCTCGTAAAATGTCTAAACAATTTGTTTTTATTACAGCTATGACACAGAAAATGGTATTTCCGTAGCAGAGACAGGACAGCCGAAAAATATTGGGCCAAATCAAATCGAGGCGGTCAGAGGTCAATATAGTTATACGGCTCCAGATGGTACTCCGATCGTGGTCACTTACACAGCCGATGAGAATGGTTTCCTGGCGAGTGGCGCCCATCTACCGACACCGCCGCCAATACCAATAGAGATACAACGGGCCCTGGCACACAATGCGGCTCATCCCGAAGAGGAGGAACCTTATAGGAGATATTAAAAATATCTATGCTAAGACTGCTCCCAATGCTTCAATATATCGATGTGGAATGATATCGCGGTTATCGCTTCTCGGATATTGATGATATTCTGCTGTAATATTATTCGTATCGTTATCTATGTGTGCTATTCAGCAAGAATATAGTGTCACAGTGAATCATCCTTGTTGTTTGCTAATATTAAACAAGAATGAAATGATTTACTGTATCACACTGTGTCCTTGTTAAAAAATGCTGCATGGAAGATTCTTAATTCAAAGCGGGTAGTTTAATCTTCGCTATTGATTCCGGGATGAACGTTAATATAAAACAAATGTTAAGCATCCTTTATTTCGGATACGGTCAATCGCACATATGGTTGCTATGATTATTATATCGATGATCAAATAGTCGAGCAGTATTATAATGTTTTATTTTGTGCGTGTAAGATTTGTGCGGGCACGATTAGGAGACGGTGGAACGTGAGATCAATGAGTAAGCGAAGTCAGAAAAAAAGATAAAAACAATAAATTTTTATTCTTTATATAGTTAGTATAAAAGAACTTTTAATAAATAATTTTATTCGTTATTCTTAATGATCATAAAATTTCGATTAATGCATCGACTAAGTGCGTCGACGCAACAGGGATTCCTATAATTAAAATATAACTTGTTTTGTATATATCTCTAAGAAATTGCAATAGTGCGACACAAGAAGCCATAAAATCATCCTGGAAAATAATTTGCATGAGTCGACAATTAAGTAACAATTGCCATCAAAGCTCAAAATAAAATAAAATGTTGGACATAATTATGTATATTGCATATGTTATGCGCATATACATGCTGTTCAGTGAAGTTGTGCATTATTATATAAGATGGCACGATAATATCTTAAATATGAATTACGCAAGAATGCTTTACCTTACTCAAGAGAGATCAATATATTGCGAAAGTTTATGCCAAACGGTGCAATTTACGGCTCGAATAATTTATTTAGTTCCAAATAAATTAAAATAACAATTTTGGCTCTAACGAATAAATCATTGAATTGTAATTGCTTTTTTAAGCCAATATAGGATATTAGTGTATACAAAAAATTGTTTATTCTATAACAATTGATACAAACAGATAATAACGCACATGTTTCGACTTCAGGTTTGGGTAACTTGTTTCTGATAAACATTGATATCTGATAAAGTTGTTTATCAGAAACAAGTAAAATGTTACAATAACCAAATGTTTTGATTCAACTAAATTTCTTAGTGTGAATCTAACGAAAGTCCTTGCGACAAACACCAATCGATACATACAGAATCGCAGAAGAGAGAGAAGCAACAAGTCATAATATATTAAAATATAGAAGAGCAAGAAGTGCCGTTTCATTTTGTAAATTTAAGCTTTTAGTCTGTTGTTTTATATGTAACATTTTAGAAAATCAGTTTCTTTTGTAAAATCTTTTTTTCATCCTCAGAACGTCCTCTTTTACGTTTTCCCAGTCAAATTCATATAATGTTTCTAATCTGTGCTCCATGATTACTGAACGTTGTATTGTATTCCATCTTATATGATTCTTATGTTTATTTATTTTAATTATTAGAATTTTGCTTGTCTGGCCTATATAGGACACATCACATTCTTTACATTTGATTTTAAAAACATACTATATTAGTATCTGAACTTGATGGAAGTTTACCTTTATAGTAAGTACTCTAATAAATTGTTGTAGTTTATTTATTCCAATGTAAGTCATACAGACAATGGAATTATTTTTAAAAAAACGTATTAATTTTTTCAGAAACCTTATTTAAAAGTGGGATGACAAAATATGTAGGGGTTTAACTGTGTTTTCTTTTTGTTTTTGTAGAAATTATCTATATTCTGCGAATCTTGATTTATTTATTCTAATTTTTTAATCTTTTTCTGATGTTCGAAAATTATTTTTAAAAAATACTTACAAAACAAAATTTTTATGGCTTTGTCAAATTTTTTTTGTAAAATCTTGGATGTAATAAAAGTAGCACTCTGTCGACTAGATTCAATATAACATTCACATCATCCTTTCTGATAGAAAGGATAATGAGAAAAATAATCAGGAGACACAATAGTGTCTAAGGCAAGCACAATGACACTACCGTTTTTTTTTTAATTATTAAACATTATGAAAACGTGGGCTTGGAGTAAGGCAATTACAATTTAGTCATTTATTTTCGTAACGTCGCGATTTATTTGAAAATTTACGTTTATAATAGACCCGTAAAAAATGATATTATTGATGCACATATATATAATTATTATTGAAATTGTTATTTGTTGTGTTAATTAAAATTCGTACTTGTTTTTGAGGGTTCCAATCGTCATCTAAATGTGCCTTAAACCCTAAACAGTATAAATTTATATAAAAATATAAAATTAAAAAAATTTTCATGTGGTTTAGAACAACATACATCATATATATATATAT